ATTTTTTTAACATCATTCCCTATTTAGGATTAGTTAATCATTATATATAATACATTTAATTTTTTATAGCTTAAATTTCACAATAAATTAATTACTGATGACAAAAAATATTAAATAGTTCTTATTAATTTCTATTACTTTCAGTGAAAGACAAACTTGAAAATGTAAAGTGTTTATTAATAAAAATAAATATATTAGCTGCAATATGTACATGTTATTACTTAAAATTGACAATAAATTCCTAGAAAAAGATTCGGTTTAGAATTTCATATTTGGTTGTGTAAGAGGCAATTCGATACTATAAAGGCACGTATTCAGAAAAAATTACCTTACTATTTATTCACTATCAAGAAAGAAAAAAATTTAGAATATACACTTATATACACAGCTTTTAAAATTTTAGTAGATCTTTTTCTTGAGACACACATAGGATTCAAGATGTGATACAAGTCTACTAAAGAAGTATATATTTGTATTTACATAAACAACTATAAAAAGGCTAAGACTTTTATGGACAGCATTATCTAATGATGGAATAAAGTGCAAGATCGGCTTCCCTCCTTCAGCAAATCTACCGATGGAATCATTTATTTGAAGTTTCACTTAACTGCTGTGGTTGGTATCTTCAGAGCACCTGAAAATTCCAATCACAGCAACTGGCGAAACATCAGATAAACGACTCTAGCAGTGGACACATCCAAGTCTAAATAACAAGCCCTCTTCAGGTAAATAATAAAATAATTATCTTAAAAACAGTACAATTTAAATCCTAGTGGCACATATTTAATAATTATTAGGATATGATATGTGTAATAGTAGTTGTATACATATGTTTACAGATTAATATTCCATTACCAAGCAGAAGTAAAAAGAAGCAAATGTAGAATAATTTCGTTTTGATGGTTTCTGTTAAAAAAATTCTATTACAAAAGGTACTTTTGTAACTTTTAATGCAAAATAACTGGGTAAATACTAAACCAAATAAATGGACGAATTCTTAAGAATGGTCTCATTTATTTCTTTACTGAAACAATGTCTAACTTGTAAAAAATTAATAGTCTACTACTACTAGTCTACTAGTCGTTTTTTTACAAATTAATAGTTTTGGGAAGCTTTAACAAAAATCAGGAAGAACTGTTTATAAAATATCGCCCCCATAAACTTAAAGAAAGTCCAAAACAGTTAAACAAAATTAAATTCACTGAAATTAAATTTTCCTGAATGAATTTGAAGTTATTTTTAACGGATTTTAAAATTGTCCCAAAAGAAAGCAGTCCTGTAAACGTAGATGAACTGCTCCCGTGAATCTTATTCTTTTTGCAAGTTACATTTTTTACTCCTAGCTAAGAGTAGAAAAGAGTGGAGCTGCACGTTCAGCCATGATTTAAACTGACAACCCTATGATGATTATGATTAGTAATAACTTGCACAGAAAATAGGGAACATGGAGCTGCACCAGCAATCATTTGTGTCTACCCAGCTATTATCTTTAACCAACAATGTAATTACTAATTAGCTATCTTATTATTAACTATCAAAAAGAATTGTGTCAAACTATGAACATAAATTACAACCTCTTTTATGCATACGAAAACGAAATAATGTAATTAAACACACGGTAAACCGTAGCTACTTACCTTGCAAAAAATTTACAAGGCAAATATAGATTAATATTAATGGGACATTCTACAAGATGAAGTTGTTCGTATTAAGGCGCTTTTCTCCATTTTAGTCCCACTTAGCTTTATTCTGTGTATTTACCATTAAAAATATGTATTATGAACACATTAATATTCAAACAATCCTGTAACACAACAGTTTGAAGAACATTACTTTTATAGGAAATTTATTAAGCACAGACTGTGTATTATGCATTATCACAAACTTTAGAATGGTTAGAACAAGACTTTCTGTTCTACTTTACTGATTGATGAATTTTAATTTTTTCTCACATATGAAAAAATTAAAAACAATTTTATCAGTCAAATTAGAACCATAAATTGATTTCTGTTCTTTATATGTACAGACTAATTGACTTACTTATCACGAATCTTAAATCCTAGAGCATTATTCAGATTTCATAATGAAAGTGACTATTGTACTTAAATTGTGATCATAAATCACTTTAAAATAAGCATTCAATTTAGAACAGCAACTTTTCGTTTCATAGGTATTGTCCAAAAATGTTTCTTGCTTTTGTGATGGACTCTTTCAATTACATTGTTACCCATTTTATTTTTGCTTCTCTTTCCTTGCTTCACTTTTTCACTCATCTGCTGCTCATTTTTTTCGCCGTTCTTCTGGACTTTTTTATCACCTTTCTCCGCTTTCTTCTCACCCTTATTTGGCAAAAACTTTTTAAACCAACTAGTCTTTGTCTTATTCGACTTCAAGATTTCTGAATTTGGGTTGTTCATAGCACTCAAGTTGCTTGAACTGGAGCATACATTTAACGCAGGGTCTGGTTTAATACTTTCTTCATCTTCACTTTTTAAATCTACCATACTTCTAAATTTAACCATATTTCTCGGTGGGTCGAGTTTTCTATCATGCAAAGACGATCGTAAATGATTATCAGTTGAAAACTTTGACTGCCTATTGCACTCTTGGTCGGATAAAAATCTGTTAAAAGTCCTGCGAGAAAATAATTACAAATACATAATTATTTAAATAGCCCTCTTAAAGTTCCGTACCTCTGGTTTCTTTGGGCTTGCACAGGAATCTTTTTAGGTGTCTGGATGGAATCCCTAAGCTTTTCCCAAAAATTCCATTTCCATTTTCCTGATCGCTCATAGTCTAACATAACATAACAGCTAATTTCTGGAGGCACTTTACAAGGTCCGTAAAGACAGGGAATTATTTTACGTTGTCTTTGTTCTATAAGATTTAAATTCATAAATTCCCTATTACTTAAAATATTCAGCAGATATTTAACTTTAATGTTTTTAATATTTATAGGAAAAAAATACCTATACTTATAGCCTGTGCCAAACTAACGAAAAAAACGTTGGCAGAACTCTTTAAAAATGCGGCAGTGATAATAACAACCAGCCGATTACATCTCTCAGATATCAATTTAATGATAACGTCGTGCTCAAATGCACCTCCCACCAGGTCTCTGTCTTTAACACACAACTTCAAATTGTACAATTTTTCCATCATTTCCAACAACTTTGTAGCAAAATCGATGTCTTCGTCTGCATATAAGACAAACGCATCATAATGCTGAGGTTTCAAACCTTGATTCACTCTATCTACATCATCTACAGTGAGAATTAGTCTATCGGCCTCTGGAGATGAATTACACAACTGTAATTCGTTTTTGTTTTGTTGGAATAATTGTATATCTGCCTCTAAATAAAACAAATTGAAGACTATAAATATTCAAAATTATGTAAATCATAAATGATACTTCGTTACTATAAAAAGGAGATATAATAATTTCTAAGTAATAACAATTTTGTGAAACTTATTGACACACTACTAAAAAAATCTACAGAAGTTTTAAATCATAGAAAATTTTTTAAAGTGTAATTCTAGTTTTGTTTTCTATTAAATTAGCAGTATTTGTGTTTTGTTTCTCCATTTTACTAAACTCAATCCGTGAGAATGAATTATTTATTGTTATTTCTGTTGTTATATATAGTTACTTTTACTTACAATTAATGTTATAAGAAAGATTCATACCTATAAGTGTTTGAATGTCATCAATAATATCAAATCTATCTAATTTTTCAAAAAATTGCAATAATCTGTTAATTGTACATTTGTCTTTCTCTTTATTCTGCCAAAGATTGAGCAATTTGTTTGTTGGATCTTTCTCTGCTTCCAACTGTGGTAACTGTTCACCTGTTATACCTATTAACTCAGCAAAGCCTTGCCAGTCTCTGAATTAAAAAAAAATAGTTTTAATATATGGTCTATTGTTTCAAACAAAATAAATATCTTTATCAATACAACTATACATTTAATGTAACCATAAATTATGCATTTGTACATTAAAAATTTTTAAGTTTTGTTAAAATAGTGATAGAATGTTATAGACTATTTTTAAAGGTTTTGAATGCATGTGCATGTGACAACTGCTAACCAAATATAGACGAAGTTTTTAGAAAAACATAGGAATTGAAACATTGTTGCCAGGACACAGCCAAAAGCTCAGTAGCGTCTTTAGTTTTGGTATTCTTGTTTTACAAGTACAATCCTATTAAGTTTTCAAAATGTTAATTTGCACAAACCTTGGGAGACCATCATCTGTGGGAATAACTTTATATGGATTAAGGAGAGCTGAGATTTTGCTCCTGACTTCATAACGAAGAGCCTGTATTGTTATATCATAACTAACTGAATGATTAGTACCAGATGCTGTGGTTTCATTGTTTCCTATGTGATTTAGATCCAAAGCTTCTGATGACATCGTTCAATAATACTTTCGCTCTAAAATTTAAAACTTATTTAGAGAATATCTACAATAATTTCTTGACAAGACATATCCTACCTAACTTTCTCTGTTACTAAAACGCTACCATTATCACCAGATTTGCACTTACGACTAACTCTTGAATAAAATAAATCCAAGCATGGTAAACTATTTTCTTCACCAGTTCTTCTGCCTTTCAAATATTAACAAATTCAATTTTCAATAACAGGTACAACTGTCAGTACTGTCACTCCCATTTATACTTAGATTTTTAGGTTATAAAACTTATGACAAACCAGAGATCAATGAAAATCCATTCACAAAAATTCTTATATCTGTGAACATTTGAAAATAAAAAAAAAAACAACAGAATTAAATAACAGTATAGATCGCTCTTCTCTAATCTAATAATTAAAAGAAGGCTATGACAATTAAACCATCCAGTATATCTTTCAAGAATAAGTAGANGTATTAGCAGAGTAGAGGGCGTTATGGAGATAAATAAGAATTATGCGAGATAGATTGCCAGGACAACTTCTCAGATCTAAAGGGCTAATTGGAGGCATTTTAGAAGCAGAAATAGAAGTCAAGAAGGTATAAGAGAAGGTATTAGGGGAACAGAGGGTGTAATAGAGGTAAATAAGAAATATGCAAGATAGGCTGGCTTCTCAGATCTAAAAGGCTAATTAGTGGCATACAAGAATCAGAAATAGTAGTAAAAAAAACAGAGGTAGACCTAGATTATTGCTCGCAAATAGTAAGTTGTACGTCACTCTAGTTTCCGAGAAGTGCGAAGACTGGCTCCAGATAAGAAGAAGTAGAGTCTTTAGGTTGATGACTTATGATGATCACTATTTTCTCCCAGTAGGTCTTCGAACTAACATATTAATTGTGAGATATTGTGGGTTTCTAGGTTTCTCATGGGTACGCGGTAGATAGCACAAAAAAACATAAATAAAAATAACGACTTACATATTTCGTAAGCTGATAATGAAAACAAATTTTAAATTGAAATTCATACATGCCTTTTGAGTTGGTTTATGTTTTTATTGCTATTTCTAATTTATTTTTAAAACTGCTACAGATAAGTAAATTTAAATTGAAATTCATACATGCCTTTTGAGTTGGTTTATGTTTTTATTTCAATTTCTAATTTATTTTTAAATGATCTAAAACCATAACCATTTAGTCCCTTCCAAATGAATGACTCACTGCAGGTGCATCAACTCTGTAAACATACTCTCCGATATTGAAAAATCCTAAATATTCGACAGTTTCCGGTGTTGTATCAATATGATAATGACCAGCTTCTCCATGATGACTGAAACTATGGAAATGTTGCACTCGAAGATCTAAACCCTGAAATTGAATGCAAGTGTATAGTTTAAAAGAAAAACCGAGAAACAGACAAAATTACTGGATCTCCTGTCTCAAGCGTTCCAACCGCAATTAAGGGTGCTGACATATTATAAAATTTTAACCAATTGTCTATATCTTTGCCACTGTTCAGAGGAGTTTTCGAAAATGCGGGCATGACATGCTGTTTTGCTTTTCCTTCTTTCAAAAGAAAGGTACCACCAAGACCTTGAAAAATGGCACTGGTAAAATTACAATAAAGTATAATTGGTAAATGATCTCACCAATTATTTTATCGTCAAAGTATCTTTTAGCTAATGTTTCCCTTATGCTAGTTACGAAATCGTCTGATCCAATTCGTTTTTTCACATGGACTTTCAATACCTACGGGTGCATACAATTAAATACGAATATTATTACACCTACAATAGTCGCTAATAATGTGTAACATCTAACATCGGTAACAAGCAAAATAATAATTTCACTATGCAAGATGCTGCTCCTGTTGAAGACCAAAGTTACAAGATCGAACGGTTGACAGCTGTGTCTTATTTTCCTTTCTAACTTTTCTTCAAGTACCAATTATAGGTAGCGCGCACTTCCGCTTCCCCCTCTTTAACTTCCGCTTACGCACAAACCGAACAGTAAGATGTTACACTTCAGTAAGATATTTTTCTATGATTAGTTAAAATACCTTTCCAGGTTTTCCCTCAGAATAAAACAAATTTGCAAGAAGGGCAATACGAGTTTCTGAGTTGGGCAAAATTTCTTGAACTTGTGACCCATCACTGGGAACTACTTTTGATATTCTTGTTTGTTGTTCCACCTTACCATCTTTCACATTCATATTAATGATGCCCTATTAAGAAAGTTAAACATTTTTTCGTTAGTAAAGGGAAAAATAAGTAAAGCAATTTTTACCTCGCAATTAACACCTGCATAAGGGTGAGGTCCAGCCCCTGCTCCAACAATAAACGCAGATTTTAAACCAGAAAAACGTTCGATATCTTTTAAATCATAAACTTTATTTAGTTGCGCAATAGGGGCCAAATAAGGAACACCCCCAATTTCAACCACTCTTGGGTTACCACCCAGTCCTAAAATGATTTAGTATCCACATTTAGAAAACATTTTTAGAACCAAACCAGCCGAGACTTCTTTAAAAAAACTTGGAACTATTTTTATAGTATTAACATACCCTCACTGGCTAATGTAAAGGGCTCTTTTCTTAGATCCGGACAGTCGACTACTTCCGCGTGTACTTCAGCAAAATTATACGTGAGATTTTGATTTAATACTAAAATGGAAAAGAAAATTGTTTTGTTTTTTTTTTGTATGAATTTAACAAATCGCACACAATAAACTTACCATCAGCCAACTCTTGCAGGGGTGGTTTATATAACGGTTTATACTCTACTTTCAAGTCATTCGCATTTAAAGCCATACTTCTATAAAAAGGAAATTCAAATGTACTATTCTTTATAACTATTTAAACATTCAAGAAAAATAAAGTTGTAGGAATATAAAATGAAGTTGTTGCTTATCGTTAGTCCATTTATTATTTGCAACTTTCCGAAATAAATTAATATTTATTCTTAAAACTGATAACAGCAGAAACACTTAGGAAAAATGTGATAAGGATACTGCAAAGGTTGCATAATAACATTATAAATAAAGTAAACACCTGGAATTAATTGTAAAAAATATAGCTAAGTTAATGATATTACGTAAATCAAACTAATAAAAGGAACATATTTTTAAAAGTTATTTATATTAAGTTATCAACTTTTGGTATAAATGAAAAGGTAATAAATAAAACGCGATAATATACAAGTGCTTTTTTGTGGTCACTTTCTAAACATTTTGAGTTCAATAGAGAAATATTTTTATCATCAACTCGATAAAAAAAGCGAACAAAGCTGGAGTAAACTGGTAAAAGAAACTATCTTGTTTCGAAACTATTGCTAGGAGAAGCACATTTGACGATAATTTAATGATATAAATATAATAAAATGAAATAACGTAGTTTTTACAATAAAAAATAAACTAAAAATAAATAATAAACTGGATCTTACCGAAATGGGAGTACATTTTCCGGACGGACAACAGACAGTAAACACAGAGACAAATACTTACTTTGGTACTTTAAACTAAATATACACGTAAAGAATAAAAAAACAAGGTAAAACATAATTGTACAATTTTAATTAGAGTAAAAAGTTTTGTACTCTAATTTATTTTCGCTTACCTTGAATTTTTAAACAATCTGTCCTGCTTTGAAAAAGACTTGACTATTACTGAAAAAATATGTTTTTCTGTGCACGAAACGTGAAATATTTTACTGACAGCATTTATCAACATTAACTTTTAATAAATGCTTGTTATTATCTTCTTGAATTTAAGAGCTTGTCACATTACTGGAGTACATGCTAAACCAGTCATTTGTTATACTGATAAGAAAAGTGTTGACTGTTTATCATTAGCAATATATAAAATAAAAATTAGGTCTAAACGATAAAAACATGATTAGTTTTTAAATTCCCGCGTGCGAACGACATCCATAAATTTTATAAGATTTCTCTATTTCTATTGGTCAATATTTGACGCCATACATATAATAGATCATCAACTACTGCGAGTAGCGTAAACAAATAATTCGCCGCCATCTCTATTTTCCGCCATTTTCGGTAATATATTTAAGTGGTTTTACATTGAATTCATAATATAACAAAATAAACAAACAGTACATAATTGGGTGCAAGAAAAGTGTAAGTTGAAATTTCATTTATATCTTAATTGGTAAAGTGCTTGCTTCTTATTTTGATTATTATATGACAGAACCGGCCAAATGCAGTAGGTGCGTCCTCAAAAAACGATCAATAAATAGCAGAAAATAATACAAAATGTCACGCTACAGCGGTGAAACGAAGGTTTATGTGGGCGATTTGGGTAATAATGCATCAAAGCAGGAGCTAGAGGATGCTTTTGGATATTACGGTCCTCTACGTAATGTTTGGGTAGCAAGAAACCCTCCAGGCTTTGCATTTGTTGAATTTGAAGATCCTCGTGATGCAGAAGATGCCGTGCGTGGTTTAGGTAATGTAATACTTCAATAAAAGTTGAATTTTTTAACCTTTTTTTTTTAAATGAATAGATGGTAGAACGATATGTGGTAGAAGAGCAAGGGTTGAATTGTCGAATGGAAAGGGAGGTAGTGGAAGATATAGGGGGCCACCTCGGTCTCGCGGAAGACCATTTCATCCTGACGATCGATGCTATGAATGTGGAGACAGAGGCCATTATGCCCGTGACTGCCATAAATACAGAAGGAGACGCAGGTAAAAGTTAGCTGGAAATGTTTGATAAATTTTTTATTTTTATTTTGCTGTTTCTGTTGGACGATACATATGCTTTGTGCAACTGGATCCAAAGGTTTTTCTAACTTTGTAACTCATCTTAATACTATGCAATTGCATTTATTTATATAAAACTACTTATTTTTCTTGATTTATTAAAACATTTTAATTGCATTCAAAGATTTTACCCATCGGATTATTTAGTGGTAAATTTTTAATGTACCTATAAACTAGTACACTTTGTTTTGAATTCAAAACTTTCAATTTTCTGTCTGTCACAGGAATAGCATGTTACAAAAATGCTACACAAATTGCTTAAAAAATGAGCCCATATACTACTTCCAAAGTAACTAATATAGGAAAAGTAAGTAGTTTTTATTATTAACAGTTTTAATATGAATTTGGTAAAATTGAAATGTGGAAAATAAAAATGCAGTAATTTTAAAAATAGAAACTAATTCACTTTTAGATGGGTAGTTAACTATTAAATTATGCTTGTAATACCCTTCTATTAGTGTATTTTAACAGAGATTGAGAATATGTAATCGATTGTAAGAATGAGAAGTGATCCAGTTGCACCAAGTGTTACGTTGGGAGGCTGCGGGAGTAAATTAAAAGAAAAAAGTGGCTGACAGTGCTGCCATGTTATAGGTATAGACTGTGGCCAATAGTCAGGTAACCCATTGAGTCTCATTCACGTCTCGTCTTCTGACTGCGTAGACTGCAGCCACCACGTAGTTACTACGACGCTCTCGCACTGTCTGCACGTACGACTGTTTTTACATACGAGACTTCGTGAGCCAGTGAGTTACCAGCCCCCTCTTTTTTGGGTGTGCGCACACACATGCAGTACGCTAGTGTTGATTTTCTACAATATCTACATAGCTACTACTACCGTTTATCTACCTTCACGACTCGTGAGCTCCCCACCAATGGTAAAAGTTGTTGTTTTATCAAACCATCAAGTTTATTAGTAAGAAAATATTAATTTGTATGTTTCTAATATCTAATTATCTCTACATGTATAAATTTCACGGAATTTATTTTCGTTTTAGTATTCATTCCCTTTTCTTAATATTTAAAGACTGATAGAAAGTGCAATTTTACTCATTTAAGGTATTACATGATAAAGAGAAAGTTACCATCTATGTGAAAAATAGATTTTTATTATAACTCCTCCAAATTACTCCATTTTTATACATGTACTAAGGAAACTATTGTGGTTCCCTTACTAAACTTTTTGTTTTGTTGTTGGCGTCAATTAGTTTTATCCAAAAAAGTTTTTTAATTACAATAAAAAACACAAGTACGTGAAGGCAAGGAACCCTTACCAATTTATCTAATAATAGTGAGATATGTATTAAAAAAAACTTTGAATTGTTTATCCAGGTCCCCATCAGTTACATCAGTTTCTAGAGCAGGAGCGGATTTATTTTTTACTTTAAATAATACAATGATTTTATTTATTGATGCGACAATAATCGATTTTATTATTAGAAATTTGAAATACCTTATTGATTTTCATGGATCACATGATATAGAAACGTCAAGGGCTTTCGCCACCGTGGAAAAGTAGTAATATAGAAGTAGTATTCCAAGATCATGTATAATAAAAATTAGGATATTCTTATTGCTATTGTATGTATTGTTGAACATGACTTCTTTACTTTTATTAGATATTTCGATAACCATTAGCTAAATTAAAATTATAGTAAAGAAACCATGTTTAAAATGTTTGACTGGAGACATTAATTTCTCTCACAAGACATTTTTAACTCATCGGCTGTAAGTTTTAAATTATCGAAAGGAGATGGACGATTATTTTAAAATTAAGGGGAAATAATTTATATAAAATATTCCAGGTCTCGTACTAGGTCGCGCAGTCGTTCACGCGACAGACGCACCAGGTCAAGAAGTGCCTCAAGATCGGCCAGCAGGTCTCGTTCTAAATCGCGATCCAGGTCGGCCAGAAGAAGTCGCAGTCGCACAGACGACCGGTCCAAGTCCAGATCACGTAGCCGAAGTCGCTCTGCTCCCAAAGAGAATGGTAACAGCGATCATAACTAAGTTAACGGCTTCATAAAAAAATCTTTACCTTAAAGTCCTAGTTGTGAAAGAAGTTAATTAAAATTATTGAATAATTACGGTAAAATATGATTATAATGTTTTAGCTTGCAAATTTCCTATGCGGCTATTTAATTATCTTATTTAGATTTAGAGTTCTTTTTGTATTTTTGTCAGTACCATTGTGTAAGTTAAATAGATGGTAAAGTAATTACAGTGTTTTAATTAAATAAAAACAAAGTAGTGCATACTCATTTATCGCAAAAATATGAATGAAATATCCTTCGAAGGACTCGTCGCCCAACAGTCTGATTTCTTCCTGGAAATTTTTAAAATGAATTGTGATGTGGGTTGCCTAATCGTTGGTAAGTTAACTCGTGGTTAACTCCTAAAATGCTGCTGATCACTGCTGATGTTTTGGAGGTTAGTTAATACCATACTCTGACTACCTCTGACCTTATAAAAGTAAATTAAGGTGTAAACTGCGTGTATTCTTTAAACATAAATTAAATAGGTAATGGGAAGAAAAGCTCAATTCGCTGAAGTGAGTAAGCAAAAACCTGGTCATGGCAAGAAAACTAAGAAACAGAAGGATCCTGTTTTCCCAAAGTTGTTGGTGAATGGTAAGCTATACATAAAATTTTAAACCTGCATGTTAGGATGTATTTTTAGGTCAAGATAATAAGAAATTATCGAGACGACAGAAACAGAGACTTGCAAAAGCCATTAAAAAAGGCAGGAGAAGTTTATCTAATGTTGAAGACATTGTTAACACAAATGCAGTAAATGAAAGCAGTTCAAATGACAACTTAACTGTATTAAAAAATAGAAAAAAGAGAAAATCAGGAGATATAAACGATACATTGGATGAAAATAGTTCTTGGTTGAAACTAAAAAAGAAATCAAGTTTAAATAAAAAAGTAAAATCTAGTGTAGATAGTTCAACGTTTGATGAATGGAATGTAAGTACAATTGACACTATTGAAGACACTATAAATTCAACAGAAGAAAATGGAATTGATGATTCAAATGATGAAGAAACGTTTAAGATTTCAAATTTGAATGAAATTGATGGAGAAGATGACAGTGATGATGATGGTAGTGATAATGAAAAAGATGAATTTAGTTCAGATGTTTCTGAAGAAAATATTGACGAACAGAATGATGATGAGGATTTGTTGCCTATAGAGAAAGAAAATAGAGTATTAAAAAAACAGAAGAAACAAGAACAAAAAGATGCTCAAGCTGAATTGCAATTAAATATTGATCAACAAGAAGTATTTCAATTTCCCAGTGAAGAAAGTGTTGCCACACTTCAAGATGTTCAACAGAGAATGAGAGAAGTAGTTGTTGTTCTATCAAATTTCAATAAATTAAGAGATGGGATACATTCAAGAAAAGATTATATTGATTTACTTAAGAAGGACATTTGCACGTATTATAGTTACAATGATTTTTTAATGGATAAGTTCATGCAGTTATTTCCACTATCTGAGTTACTAGAATTTTTAGAAGCCAGTGAAGTTCAAAGGCCTCTTACTATCAGGACAAACACTTTGAAAACTAGAAGAAGGGACTTGGCGCAGGCATTGATTAATAGGGGTGTCAATTTGGATCCTGTGGGAAAATGGAGTAAAGTAGGTCTTGTTGTGTACTCTTCTCAAATACCTTTAGGTGCCACTCCTGAATACCTAGCAGGACATTATATAATTCAAGGAGCTTCTAGCCTTCTACCTGTAATGGCATTAGCTCCTCAAGAAAATGAAAGGATTTTAGATATGTGTGCTGCTCCTGGTGGCAAAGCTTCACATATTTCAGCAATTATAAAAAATACAGGCATCCTCTTTGCAAATGACGCAAATAAAGATCGTGTTAAAGCTGTTGTTGGCAATTTTCATAGATTAGGAATTGTTAACTCAGTTATTTGCAACTATGATGGAAGAAAGTTTCCAGAAGTTTTAAAAGGATTTGACAGGGTTTTGCTAGATGCTCCTTGTACTGGAACAGGAGTCATAGCTAAAGATCCTAGTGTGAAAACAAGCAAAGATGAACAAGATATTCAAAGATGTTTCAATCTTCAAAGGCAACTGCTTCTTGCAGCGATCGATTGCGCTAATGCCAAATCAACAACAGGCAGTTACATAGTTTACTCTACATGTTCTGTACTTCCAGAAGAAAACGAGTGGGTGATTGATTTTGCCCTAAAAAAACGAAACGTTAAATTGGTTGATACTGGACTTGATTTTGGTACTGAAGGTTTTGTTCATTACAGACAGCATAGGTTTCATCCTTCATTAAAATTGACAAGAAGATTTTATCCTCATACACATAATATGGATGGGTTTTTTGTTGCAAAACTTAAAAAGTTTTCTAATGTAATCCCTAAAACTAGCACAGAAGAGGAAAATGATGCAGAAGACACTATTAATAATGAAAGGACACAGGATTCACCAACTAATGAAATAAATAATAAAGAGCCCATTAAGAAGCAAATGAAAGAAATTAGCATAACTAAAAAGCAGGATAATATAAAGTTAAATTTGTTTAAAAATGGGAGCAAAACAGAAACGACGTCGTTGGCACTAAACGATAAAGATAATAAATTAAAAAATAAAACTTTAAATAAATCAGTAATAAACAGTCCTTCAAATAAAGGACACTCGTTAAAAAAAATTAATACTAATAAAAGTAAATCTTTTTCTAAAGACGTAGAGCAAAAGGCAATTCAAAAATTAAAGAAGAATATTGCAACAAAAAAGAAAAAAATTGGGACTTTGAAGAAGAAATAATAAGCCTATTGTTATTTTATAAATTACTGCAAAAAATACTTTTTTTATTTAAATTGTATTTATTCAGTTCATGTTAAATACAATAAACAAGTGAATAATCTTACCAGATTGTTTTAATATTACGCCCTCTTAATAGGCAAAATGGAAAAATATAGAATATGTATTTTTTT